CCAAACAAAGAAGCGGTATTGTGGCTTGCGATGAACTGTTATTGCCCCATAACAATATATTACTGCAAACTCCTCCTAATAATCATGCAAGGGTAAAAACAAGGAAGTGTATAACAGAAGACCAAGAGAGTGACTTTGCTCGGTGCGCATGAAACAAGTGTTACAATCGCTGTATTTGTTGGATTCATCAGAAGTCAAGGCACTGGCGTCCTCAGTGACTTCAACCTAATGTGAATAAAACATCTGCGTTTGTCTGAACATCAAATGATTTGTACGGCACAATACTCACCCCAAGCGTGACGAATTCGTGTGATCCCAACTCCGGATCGCGCAGGCATTCGGGCTCCTCGCTGCGCACTTTTGGTTGCAAGACCTGCCTGCCTTTGAAGAGGACTTGCATTCCGATGAAGATCCCCAGTAAGGTGACCCGGACTAGTCCGATACATATGAGCAGGACAGTGCTTGTGAACCTCCGCGCCAAGCTGGCCGACGCCATGCCCAGTCTTCAAGCAGTGTTTCGTAAACAAATGTCCTCAGTACGAAGTTCGCCACTCGCGTGAGATTTTTAAGCCAAAAACTGCGTAGCACTGATTGCGCGTCGGGGTATCCCACGTAGCGATCCAGCCAATTGTTCCGACTAATGCTGAAGAGGCGACTTCCAGCCGCTCCTCCCACAAGTGCTGCTTCCCGTATTAATCCACTTTCTTATGCTTGCTTGTTGTACTGTACATCCTCCTGCTTAAAATATTGGCCGTTACAGTCTTCGTAATCTGGTGTTACCGTTGTAGCCACTCGAATGCCAGAAAAAGAGGGTTAATGACGTACGTCCAAGAGTTGTCCAAGTACAGCCTACCAGCCTGAACCTGAAGACACTATGGCGCCCGCTCTCGGGTGCCCACTCCACTTCAGGGCGCACGCCTCGTCAGTCGTCCTCTCACGGCACCCTGCGAATTGAGGAGCGTAATTCTATACTGGGCTGGAAATACGATGCGAAGGCAACATGCATTCTGTTCGTTCGGTGCGCCTGTCCTAAACACAGAACGAGCATAGTTCCTAGGAACAGCTTATCGCGTTGGCTCGTCGCCATTCTAACAAGACACCTTTGAGTACCGCGAATCTCAAGTGAGAGCTCGACGGATGGCTTGATAAGACAACCTTGATAAGAGCGCCAGCGCACACTGCATTCGTAGCTTGGAGGGAATAAACTTTTGTGAGTATCGCGTTATTTGTTTCCTTTAGAACTCTCCTGTTCCGTCTCTCAGGATAAAAATAGTCAAGGGAGGTTTCAACACATCATTAGTGCTACATACCAATTCTTATTTTTTGTATTTTTTGTGTGTTTGAGCTTTTTGTAAATTATGTGATACTGAAATCACTAGGAGTTGAATGAATTTCCTTAAAGTAAACCCATCTCTTCTAACTGGATGACCAGGTGAGTGAGAACTTCACCACGACCACGTTTAACGACGTGTTGTACTTTAAGTATTTGCGTCAGCAATGCAACAATTCTTACAGTGCTTCTCGACGAATAGTGTTATTGAGGCTTACAGACCTGCCTAATTCACACAAAATAATCTATTCAATCTTATTATTGTGACTACCCCGCATGGCGTAACGAGACGTTTGGTGTGTAGCGACACCACGCACCCGAGCTAACGGAGGGGTCTCGACTCCCTCCCACGCCTAGCCGTGCGTAGCTTTGCCATGTCCGGTAAAATGGGGATCCTGTGGGTTTAGCCAACGCCGGGTGATTGGGCCTTTAAGGCCCCCCGACAGAAGCAACACACTTCTTTGGCCCCGGCTTCACGTAGATAGCACTCCTGGGCTGACCCACCCAGGGGAAATCGGCAGTCGCCTTTTCCTATCTCTTTCTCTCCTTAGATCTTCGTCTTTATCTCCTACTTTATATCTGTCCTGTCATCTTCTATTTACTTCCGATTTTTTTGGCGGCGAGGGTTAACCTTGTGTAGTTGCTCTACCTTGGGCAGTTATGTTTGGTTATAGTGGCAATGTACGGCTGGCGTCTGCAGTGCTATACAAGCGCTTCAGCTTCCCCTAGTTGGGCCCCATAGTAGGTGGCCGCCATTGCTTCCGAAACAGCCAAATTATTCTGGGAACACCTTCATTTCCCCGACTACTTGATCGTCTTCTTCGAAAAAGCGTGCCCACCGAAAGACTAGTATGTTTCAACCGCCTTGGTCTATTCTTCCCAAAATTCCATGTAATTCAGTGTGAAGCTCGTAACAAACAAGCAACATCGATTTCTTCAATTCTTGTCTAAAGGTCACTGACCAAAGTCTTTGGACCAGGTTACAAGGTAACTAATATGCCAAGTGGTGACCTCCTGCTCGAACTAACTTAGCGACAACAATTTGAGAAACTTTGCAATCTAACAGCATTCGGCAACATCCCAATATCCGTTTTGTCTCACCGTTCAATGAATATCTCACGGGGAGTCGTCTCAGAAGCAGACCTCCTCGGGCTGTCCAAACACGAACTCCTGGAAGGTTGGAAAGAGCAGAATGTAACTGAAGTTAAACGAATCATCATTAAATGCGACAGCAAAAAAACACCAACCAAGCACCTCATTTTAACATTTGCATCTAGTGTATTACCTACAGACATTGAGACAGGTTACATCAAACTCTCCGTCTGCCCATATATTCCAAACCCAAGACGTTGCTACAAATGTCAAAGATTTGGCCATGGCTCGCAGAGCTGCTGAGTTCAAGACACTTGCGCAAAATGTGGAGACCAAAGACACACCTCTGATAAGTGTACTAACACACCTCACTGCGTCAACAGTGACGGTGATCACGCAGCATACTCCCGTTCCTGCCCAAATCGGAAAAAATAAAAAGAATTTATCACGCTTAAAGTAAAAGAAAACATCAAATTTAAGAAAGCCCGTAACAGATGCGCACGATTCTACAAAACGCCTTACGCTAATGCGGCGCGCTGGGCGGTAACGTTGCACCAGCCCTCGCCACTCGTTCGGCCAGCGCAAAGGGTGCCATCGGCTGTGGCACCTGCCCCCTTGGTGATAGAAGCCTAGTCTGTTCCGCCAGCTCGCGAAACAGTGCCAGCGACCCCAGCGTCATCAGGTACCAAGGCCTCGTCTCTTCAGGCGAAGTCCGAAACCCGAATCATCAGCCCGTGCGTGTGGGCATCCAGTGCCTCCGAGGAGGCAATGAACACCACGGTACCCCTGGCAACGGAAGATCGGCGTGGCTCCTTAGAGCGCGCCAGGAAGAGAAAAACGCCGATAACAGGGTCCGATGACAGCTCTGTTGCCTAAACTCAAATCTCCATCTAAACAACAAAACCTTATTTTTCGCGCACACAACACTACTTCACTTTCATGATGACTGCAGAAATTGTGCAATGGAACATCAGGGGCCTTCTCAGGAACCTTGACGATCTCCAAGACCTCCTATACAAACAATCGTGAAAAGTACTGTGTGTACAAGAAACACCCTTAAAATCCAACCACACTAACTTTCTTCGTAGCTGCATTATTTTCTCAAAGGACCGTGATGACGCAATGGCATCATCTGGAGGTGTATAGCCATTTTAGTTAATCAAGGAACTGCGTGCACGCACTCACCGCTTCGGTCGTTCCGTGAAGCAGTGGCTGTTCGAGCGGTACTCTTGTGTAAACTCATCACCGTTTGCCCTATATACATACCTCCACATTTTCAACTGCAGAAACATAAATTTCAGTTCCTGATAAATAAACTTCCCGAGCCCTCTCCTGTCCAAGGAGACTTTAATGTGCATAGTAGTCTTTGGGGCAACTCTCGTTGCGATGCATGAGATTGCCTTATTGAACCGTTCCTTTGAACAGGAGCCTGTCTTCTTAATCAGAAAAAGCCTACATATTACAGCTTTGCAAACAATACCTACTCCTCCATAGAGCTAATCATTGAATATCCATCGCTTCTACCCATACTGCAACGGAAAACCATAAATAATCCTTACGGGAGCGATTATTTCTCGGTAGATTTGAGTACACCAACATCATATGAATGTTTTTCACACTCTTTTATCCTGGAATGACTTGTATGCGTTAGGCATAGAGGCTGCTGTGGACTACCTCACGACCTTTTTAATTGACGCTGCCACCTGATGTATTCCACAAACAAGTGGACTATCAGGCAAACTACGTGTCCCTTGATAGAAAAACGATTGTCGAAAAACGCGTAAAAACAAAACAAAGCGTGGAGATTGCTTCGAGAATCACTGATAGCCGAAACTTTTAAAATTTTAAGAACATAAATGTTTCAGGGCAGGAGGATGCACAGACAGGCAAGAAGAGTAAGTTCGCAAAAGTTTTTATCTGGCATCACTTCGTACACTCATGAGGGTAAGGTCTGGAACAGGATGAGAAGAGTGGATGGATGGATGGATGAATGGATGGATGGATGGATGGATGGATGGATGGATGGATGGATGGATGGATGGATGGATGGATGGATGGATGGATGGATGGATGGATGGATGGATGGATGGACGGACGGACGAACGGACGGACGGACGGACGGACGACGGACGGACGGACGACGGACGGACGGACGGATGGATGGATGGATGGATGGATGGAGGATGGATGGATGGATGGATGGATGGATATGGCTGTACCATTTAGTCCGGGCGGTGACTAACGCCACCAAGCCGTAATACTTAGTGAACCAAAAACTATATATTTTTTTTCCTTTAAATAGTGAGATTGACAACTCGTATATCGCAGTGAAGGGTTTAATTTTCACTCGTACCTTGACTTTAGCCACCAATCAGATGACCTCCTTGTAGTTAATTCTACCCGCTTAAAGTCTATTTTGCCCTCCCTGTCCCTAAAACCCAGTGCTTTGAAAAACTCTGCGCCATCTTCTTGAACTATAAGGTTAAGCCCTTTAAGAAACATAAAATGTTCGGCAGTTTCCTCCTCCCCTCCACACGCACTGCACACCATGTCTACCCCTTCGTATTTGGCCCGATATATCTTGGTTCACAATACTCCCATCCTGGCCTCAAACAGTAGAGAACTACCCCGAGTATTATCATAGATTCTTTCCTTGGCAATTTCCTGCTTAAAAGTTCGATAGATCTCTAGTGCAGACTTCTTAATCATGCCGATTCTCCACATATCGGTCTCAGCTTCCTTCACCTTCTTCCTAACTGAAAATTCCTTTTAGTTTGGCTTCCTACTGCTTTCTAAGTACTTACCAGTCAATTTTCTGTCTCGCTTTCTCCATTTTGTAATGACATTCTTCATGAGCAAGTAGCTGGAAACCTTCCTAGCCCAACGCTTTTCCCCAATTTCTCTCAATCACTTCTCAAATTTTATCTTACTGTTAGCTTCCCTGCCCTCAAATGATGCCCATCCCATATCACCTTGTACTCCCTGATTGTTGTATTCCCGTGAGCTCCTAAGGCAACCCTACTTATTCCAGTTGCTTAATTTGTAATCTTGCTCGAACTTCTGATCTCATGCATAAGACCGCATTGCCGAACGTCAGACCAGGAACCATGACCCCTTTGCATATTCCTCTCACAGCATCATACCTATTGTAATTTCGCAGTGCCCTGTTTTTCACCACCACTGCATTCCTGTTACCTTTAGTCGTCACGTATATTTCGTGTTCCCTTAGGTACTCGGTCCCATTGCTTATCTATACGCCCAGATTTTTGTATTTATCTGTTATCTCTAGCATGATCTCCTGTATTCTGAGCTCACTACCTTAATCATCATTAAAAATCATGACTGCTGATTTTTCCTTACTGAATCTGAAATCTAACCTATCTCCCTCATTACAGCAGATGTCCATCAATCTCTGCAAATCTTGCTTGTTGTCGGCCATTGGCACTATATCATCTGCGTACATCAACGCTGGTAGTTTCTGTTCAATGAGTTTTCCTTGTTTGACGAAAGAGATATTGAAACCCAGTCCACTTCCCTCTAATTTGCCTCTAATCCTTGTAGGTACATCGTGAATAACAGGGGTGACAGAGGGCACCCTGCCTAAGCCCCCGTTTTAGCTCTGCGGGCTTGGATACCAGTTTTTCCCACTTTATAACAGCCTTTTTACCTTTATAGGAAAACAAACATGTGCGTTTTCTCTGGTGAACCACAAGGCGATAGCTAGGAAGACAAGGCAAACCACCTAGGCGCACACTTCGAGCAAGTTTCCAGCTAGCCACACTACTCTCAAGAGTTCCAACGCTACAAGGCAAGGGTGAAGAAGCAAAAACTTGATACCAAAAGTACACAAGATGAGGCATACAACCAACCTTTCTCCCTAGCTGAACTGTAGGCATCTATAACCCGCTGCAGCCCTTCTGAAGCAGGATCTGTTCGTGTGGTTGATGGAATGTTGAAGAACCTACATGTCGAAACGCAAAAAAAACTTACTTTACCTTTACAATGCCGTCTGGTTTTCCAGTGACATCCCTTCAAGCTGAAAAGAGGTCATTGTCATTCCCATTTTGAAAAAAGGCAAGGATCCATCATCCTTCGTTACGAGTTACAGGCCTATATCACTGACAAGCTGCCTATGCAAACTTTTTGAAAAGATGATAAATCGCCGACTCGTGCACTTCCTTGAAACTAACAGCCTACTTGATTCATACCAATGCGGGTTTTGAGAAGGCATATCTACCATTGATCACCTGGTACGTGTATCGAGGCACAGATCTGAGATGCTTTTCTCCATAAGCAATTTTTCTAACGGTCTTTTTCAATATCGAGAAGCCCATGACACCACATAGCGATTTGGGATATTGCGAGACCTCTTGCACTTGGATGTCCGAGGTAATATGCTGAACAAAATTCAAAGTTATCTGTCCAATCGCACTTTCCGTGTCCGAGTGGGTAATTTTTTTGTCTCGAGCTTTAGTACAGGAAACGGGAGTGCAGCGAGGTGGTGTGCTGAGTTGCACACTTTTCATTATAAAAATGAATACCTCACATACCTGTATCCCACGAAGCATGTTCTGTTGCATATACGTCGACGACGTCCAGATAGGCTACAAATCATGCAAACTTGCAATGCGCGAGCAACAAATTCAACTTGGCTTAAATAAGGTAACAAAGTGGGCTGACGAGAACGGTTTCACTCTTAACCCACAAAAGAGCGCCTGCGTTTTATTCTCAAAAAAGAGAGGTCTCCATCTAGATCCGCACATTGACCTGCACGGTCAGAGGCTACCAGGGATGGCTTAGCAAAAAATTTTGGGCAACATTTTAGACAAGAAACTTACATTCATCCCTCACAACAAATATCTGAAAAACAAGTGCCTGAAAGGAATGAATGTCATCAAGGTTTTAACGTAGGCATCATGGGGCGTTGATAAAAAATGCCTGATGAGTTTTATAAAATCCTTATATGCACATGTCTAGATTATGGAATGATCATATATCAGTCTGCAGTACCAAGTGCCTTGCAAATGCTTGACCCTGTCCCCCATTTGAGCATCCACCTTTCAACGGGTGATTTTCGC